GTTCTCATTGAAAATTCAAGAATACTGAGTATGCAAAGCCATAAGTTTGTGACCAAATAGAAAGGGCCTTACTATATACATAATAAATTATCAAATAGCACATATAAATTATGGGAACTAAATGGAAAAGTACTAAAAATACCAGCTAATAAAAGATAGTTAAAGCTCTACCACAAGCGAGATATATAAATAAATGTTCCATGGCTTATAAAAACACACCTTCAACATGGCCCTATCAAAGAATTAATTTTTGAGGATCTCTTCGCTACCACACCATTACTTGTCCTTTCTGAACCTTGTCCATATCTGGAATTTCAAGATAAACCCACCCAAATTACTGTCACCTTTGGAAAATTAATAAGAGCCAAGGATACAAGAGATCAAATCGGCACTCTTGTTCATACATTTTATCTTGATGCGTGTTTAAGCTCTTTGATACCACTGAGAGGAATATACATAGAGGATATTTTACACCTTATTATATAAAAGTTTTGATCAGAATCTACTATCTATTTGAACCTTTTGGAATAGAACAAATTTATCGAACAACCTACCTTATACTTCTTATGATTAATAAACTCAAGGCTGCCAAATTTAATCAACTTCTACAAAAACTTCCTGTGAAATGGGCACTTTTTAGTAGGAAAGAATTGTGAAAGTGCAAATTACCCCCTAAAATTACTGTGGTTTCTGCTATGGTACAAATTCTTTAAATTCCAAGAATTCTGAAAATCCCAAGAATTCACATATTCACAGAATAATTAGTATTTTTAGAATTATCAAAATTCTTAAAATAGATATTATTATGTTAATCGCTACAATATAGTAATAACAAAAATTAGTAGAATAGTTATTATCGTTAGAATTCTTGTGATTATAGTACATATGTAAAGAAAGTATATATATCGTGAGACTCTTTCCTGAATAAAGTAACTCTCAGAGTTTGAATCATATCATTTAAGGGTAGGGTATTTGTTTACTATTTGTTTGCACAAGCATGAAAATAAACAAATTAAAATTTAATGATCTGCAAAATTAACCAATTATAATTGTATATTTGGTTGTATATGCATATTTATTTGTACATTGTATGAAAAAAACATATAAACAAATACCTACCCTTAAATAAAAAAACCATAACCTTAAGTGCCAAAACCTTCGAAATTAGAGTAGAACTGTTTGTCACTGACACTGTTATACCTTCTTGTTGAAAAATAGTTTGTCGTTATAGTGTAGCCTTGTCTCTGTGACTTTCGTACATTGTTTTATCGTATTTAAAAGAAAGAGATATTGTACTGTATTAGTCATACATCCCTTATACATATAATTAGGGTAGCTGCGCAACATGTGATACCGCGCAGAACCAGTACAATCACATATGCATGTGTAAATTCGATTATTCTTCACTAAGTAAATTAAATCAAATTATATTACTGATTCTTCGTAACTATAATT